TGTACTGCCAAAAGCGTACGTTTCAATTCGGGTATTCCCTGTATATCCGGAGTTTGGCCCCAAGTGAAGAATTTAACACGATCAAATATAAATATTTGTCAATTTGTACTGCATTTAACTGCCCGTGAATTTGTTTTCACTTGACCTGAAAGGTGCGTCAATTTTTCGAATATAACAAACGTTGTAACTATTTTCTATTTTGTAACGTGAAACAAGTGCTTCGTTCAATAAGTGGGGAAAATGGGAAACATTTTATTCTCGCGATATTACATTACAGAACTCTGTTCTATGAATGAGAAAATAAATCTTCGGTTTCGTATTCAGCAATAAAAGTGAAAATTTAAAAATCAAGTTTCTCGGTTCGCATTGACCAATTAAAATCTGTAATTTCGTATTAAAAATTGGAATTTCGTGTCGTACATATTAAGTAATAAAAGTCGGAATACAAAATCACTCTTCTCACTTTTCGTTTCGTGCATATGAAGTAATAAAAATTAGAATTGAAGAATCTTCAATTGCACAGTAAAAGTTGATTTTCTCACTTTTCATTTCATACATACTAAGTAATAAAAATGAAATTTTAAGAATCTTCAATTTCGCATTAAAAATCGAAATTTAAAAATTAATTTTCTCATTTTCCATGTCATACCTATTAAGTAATAAAAGTCAGAATATAAAAATCTTCAATTTCACGTTAAATATCGGAATTAAAGAAACACCTCCCTACCATTTCACATTGTCACGAATAGACAAAGACGTAACTCTAACGTCCCAAAAATCCATAGACGAACACCGAAAACAAATAACTCATCGTAGCCAAACAAACGGCCAAGCCTCTCGACACCATCGATCGCCGGCAAAAATTCATCCGTCCAACAACGTCCTCCTCGTTACTCACAGAGGCGACAGAAGCAAAAGAAACGGCCGATATACCTAACGAACGATTTATTCGCACTTTCACGCCGTCACCGTTGAAACGTTATCTTCATCGTTCCGTCAGGCTTCTTATTCGCGCCGGCGAAACGACGCGACGCGACGTGTACACGTGGAAAAAAGTCCGCGGTTGTTCACTCGATAAATCAGGCAAACCTGAACTGTCTGATAAAAGAAGAAAACGGCGAAAAAAAAAGAAACAAAAAGGACAGAAATCAAGGAAAAAAAAAATACGCGCGAGTATGGAAAGGCAGTGAGAGGGAGAGACAAAAAAAAAAGGAACGAACGCGCGAAGCCGATGACACATTAAACCGACTTTCCTCTGCGTCTATATCACTCATGGCTGACTAATCGGGTTTCGTTTCGCATGCACGATACACAGCGTGGCAATCTGACCGAAAATTCTCGTCACAAAGGCGCGTAACAGAACGAAAGCATGCATCGACGCGCTACCATTCCTCCGTACCCCCGATTTCGCGCGCGCGTTGTTGCGTTCTCCGACACTCGACACACCCCATTCCCTCCCTTAGGCGAACAGAATAGATCTTATCAGGATGGGCTCTCGGTGTAATTAGTCTGACCTGGCATTGCTCGTCTTCGCCCTTGTTTCGCGCAAAAAGCGTTGATTAAACGGCCATGGTGGGGGGGAGTTGAAAAATGCTGGTCGGATGGAAACGTACCACACGTTACGTACCAAACGCGTCGAAATATATAGGCTAACATGCAAGATTAACTCACGGTGGTAGTATGTTGGTAGCATTTGCATAATTTTGTAAACGGCGAGTTTAACCGAGAGTGAGAGGCTGTCTCGGTGTGCAGGTGTCTAATGAATTATTCAAATGACGGTAATGTATGTGTAGTTCCGCGGATCTCAAGGTTGCCCCGCGATTGTGCGGAATCAAATCTCTTTGGCCGCGTTGGTGGAAATTGGAAATTAGGGTTACAATTAAAGGGAGAGACTCGTGGAGGTCGATAAAGATAAGGCGATTTTTGTGAATTTATTATTAGGAGACGATGGGATAGAGGTTTTCGAAACTTTCGGGAGATTTTATTTAATATCTGGAAAAGTAGAAAATATTTTTTCGTTTAAAATAATTCGGTTGCGTAATTCTGTAATTTACTAAAAATAAAGCGTTCTTCGTGAATTTATTTTTGAGAAATAATGGAATAGACATTTTTGAAACTTTTCGGATGTTTTACTCAGCATCTAAAAAAGTAGAAAATATTTCTTTTGGTGTAAAATAATTCGATTGTCATAAACTGTAGAGGTATTTCACCACTGTAAAAGCATTACCTCTACAGTTTATAATAATCGAATTATTTTACACCAGAAAAAATATTTTCTACTCTTCTCGTTTGTACAGATCGTAAATTAAACTTAGGCAAATAAGTGAAAAGAAGAATTTTTGTTTTTCATGTGTACGAATATGAAATCGAGATAAGAAGCGACATTACTTACGAGATGACTGTCATCGAAGGATTAGATTACATTTGGAATGATATTTTGTGGAAGAAAGTTCTGTAGGGTTGGTGATATTGTAAAAATCGTTATCATTGGTTCAGGAATCCCAATTCGGTGGAGCTTTCAGTGACAATACAGGAAATACGTTCCGACAACGCCACACTTCGTGACAAATCCTCGAGGACGCTCTCCCGGAGAACGGAATCTCCTTCGAGACCTTGCGAATTGTCAATCTTCCTCTGTTTGTAAACGAACGGGACACGCGGTAACGAATCATACTAACACCGAACAATAAAGAAATTGTTCTCACTCTGAATGATCGTACTTTCAACATTTGTCGAAAGAAAAAATTTGTAGATTCTTATTAACCCTTTCGTTGCTATTTGCGTCTGTAGGAGATTTGAAAATTTGCTCGCACTATTGCTGCACTTTTACCTTATTTAATATACAATTTCATCCTCAAGCACTTCCATATTAATTTGATGATTCGAATTTTAAAAATAAGAAACTTTGCAGTCGTGGTTAAAAATTACACGTTACGCGTTAAAATCTGCCGTAGCGAAAAAATAAATCTCAATTAAGGCTATAATTCGTCGAATTTTCTTCGTAATAGATTTTTATTAACAAAAATGTCCTCGGAATTAATTAAAATTTAATTCCATCCAGTCTAAAATCTCGATACCACAGTTTGCTAATGCCTGAAAAAAGAATTGCCGCAAATTTGCCAGAAAGAACAAAAGAATTTCAGCAAGCAGTCTGAGCATAGAGTGTCAAGTTCTTTTCACGCCACGGTTCGCTCGATTGCGCGAAAAAGAGCGCAACCGTACGCTTTTCCCCGTGGCTCTCCAGACACAAAGGTTTCCGTGTGAACGTCCGTCGATTGACGATCGTTAGCTCCGTACAAACGGACTGCTGCGTCCAGCCGTCCGGCCGGTCTGCTGTCGTGACGTTATCTAGGTCAAAGAACCAGTTCAACAACTTGAAACGATCGCGTACGACAGACGGTCTGTCGGCGATGACGTCACGCGACGGCTGCTATTCTCGACGGAGCTGAGGAGCGCGTGATCCGGTCTGATAAAAATAGCGACTAATCCGGTTTACGAGCGGCCACGAAACGATCGGTCGTTCAATGGAATCGGTTAGACAACGAACGGGTCGTGGTTGCAATAGTAATGCGACGGCTAACTTGGCTTCGGCCAGATCGAATGGTAATCGAAGCCCTGTTACTTAATAATGAGAACGCCACCCTCAGCCTCGTGGGAGCTTTCAACGCGGACACGTTTTATGGAAATGCGTTGAACCGCGATTGTTCCGCGCCCCGTTCGATGCTCTTTTGACTCGTGATTAGCAGAATGAGACGGTGGAGGAGGAGGTGGAGGATGACGGGGGAAGAGGAGGTGGAGGTGATGGAAGTTGAATTGGAAAAGTTGCTGCCCTCGAAGGAATTGCATGCTGTTACGCGTCTCGTTGTAATATTAAAGGATGATTCTGAAGAATGGGATTCATAAGAGATATTGCCTAGAGTGTGTCCTTGTTAGTTGGTGACAATTTTTCACAGTTTATCGGGCTGTGCATTTTTTTAACGGGCGAAACTGAATCTTATTGGGATTTGAAGTTTTCACCTGCCAGTATCGCACGAGGTGATTTTTGTGGGAACGAAATTGATTAATTACGGTGGAAAGGGTGTTGGAGGAAAATTTGGAAGATTAGGAGATTGAGAGGATAGAGAAATTTGTCGATTTGTGTAATTTGAAATGTCGTTGATTGGAAATTTCTCAAATTTTTCGAAAGTTACTAGAGATCAATTTGCACCTGCTAATGTCGTGCAAGGTGATTTTTGTGGGAACGAAATTGATTAATTACGATGGAAAAAGTGTTAGAGAAAAATTTGGAAGATTAGGAGGTTGAGAGGATAGAGAAATTTGTCGATTTGTCTAATTTAAAATGTCGTTAATTGGAAATTTGGAAGATTGATGAGAAATTTCTCAAATTTTTTGAAAGTTATTAGGAAGCAATTTTCACTTGCTAATATCATGCAAGGTGATTTTTGAGCAAACGAAATTGATCAATTATGACGAAAAGGGTGTTGGAGAAAAATTTGAGAGGATAGAGAAAATTTGGAAGATTGAGAGATTGAGAAGATAGAGAAATTTCTCAATTTGTGTAATTCAAAATGTCATTACCAGCAAATTTAGAAGATTGACAACAAAATTTCTTCACGTAACTAATTAAAAAAGAAACATCTATCAATTCGTGATTTCCTTAATTGCACAGTAATTTTATTTGAAAATTTGAAATTTTTCGAAGATTTGTTTTATCCAAAAATTTCATATAGCAGTAGAAAAGCTCTGCCAATTCTTACCACACTACAGATGCCCAAAGAAACAATATTATATTGAAATAAACGACGACGATGCGCGATAGATGAAGCTTGCAACGGCGGCGTTAATAATTCAGGGCTTATAATATCAAACATACATGAAATTGGAAATTTTTTAATCTTGGTACTACACACAACGCTGGATTGCTTTTCAATAACTGGAATTACTTAACCTACAAGACATCAAGTAATAACCATGATGCTTTCTCTTTGTTTTCAGAGTTCGTGTCGAGTATTACGTGAACGAGAACACGTTCAAGGAACGACTTCAGCTGTACTTCATCAAGAACCAACGTTCGAGTAAGTAAATCGAATTATTGTCCTTTTGTAAACAATCTTTTTTCATTTTCTCTTTCTCTGTAATTTCAAATAGGATTACCCGTTTATAGTATTAGTATTGTAAAAAAATATTTAAAAAATTTAGTGTTGCTAAATTAATATTGCTAAATTTTTACAATACTTGCAAATAGTCCTGTATAAATGCAAATTGAAATAATAAAGTAAATTGCTACCAGATGAAGATAAATTGAAATAAATGGACTTCTTATCATACATAAAATATTTGGAAATTTTCTCGTGTGATAAGCAGGTAGAGAGATTGAATACCTGGACTGAACTTAAATTAGTTCGTGCACATTTGAATACATCGATACATTTCGTACGAAATGACGCACAGTAGTTTCTACCAACATTCGCAAGTCAAGTTCACTGTCGCAGTTTTAAATAGACCTTTCGATCTAACGCCAGATTTTCACGTTATGCCGCTGCATACGAATATACCTATTGTGCCAATGTCATCACGTAAATTGTGTTACGCTTTTCGTTTCGTTCGCAACACAATGTGGAAAATCCAAAACTGATCGATCTTGCACGTGTTATCGTCAGAATAGTTTAAAAAGTAGCCTACATTTAACGCGCCCCCTAGATGAAATATCTCCAGTATTTAGTTTATTGCCAAATATTCGCTAATCCCTCTATTTATTAGAATGCCTTGGAAACCGTATTCATTTCTTTTTTAATCTCGAATATTTCTTTTTTATACACTTGAAACTCAAGGGCTGAGCCGAGGCCCAAATTTATTTTACAGCGAGGTAATAAATTGCAGGTATAGATCGCGCGCGTTCCTCTCGCGGAGCATACGTAAAACGCGGCTGTCGATTATTGCGCGCACGTACGTCGCTCCTCTGTATAATATGCACGCGCGTCGGCCACCGCTCCAGGCCCGATTTAATCATTAATTTAACAACGAACGCGTCCCGCGGATCCCGTCGACACAATCGACCTCGTGTAAAAGCACACCGAGCTCTCGGTAAATAACGCGCGCACCAGAGAATTGCGCCCGTGTACCACCGGAACCTTCGATTTCCCTTTGATTTACCACCCTCCGCTGTCTCTGCGCTCGTTTAATCGACTTGTCGACACCCTCGCCGCGTGGCTGTTCGAGAAATACGATTCTTTTTTCGCGCAGTAGATTTGATTTATGAACGATTTTCGTAAATTCAACGTAAAAGGATACGCTAATTTTGAAGCGCCCCTTTCAATCCCTTCATTTACTGTCTGGCGTGACAGTGAACGTGTTAATAAGTAAATGTTGTTCAAATTATGTCGTGTTTTATGTCATTTTCATCAGAAAAATCTCATCAATCTGTTGAGAAAAATTTCGGGATAGAAAACGTAAAATTAAAAAAGTTGATATTTAAATCGCTTGGTTGCCTGGACTCACGTTTCATGCTTATCTTTTATTCGCTGTCCTTGTCTACGTTCGGCAAACTACAAAGGCGGGCGCGAGGCTCGAAAACGTAGGCCCTGACTCTACGAGTGTCAGGTTTAGCTTCCTTGCGGTCAGACACTTGTGGAGAATATGCTGTATAAAGTATAAAATTCTTTCGGAGATGTATGTTTCCAGAAACGTGTTAGGCTTAAATTCGTAGCTTGAGAAATTTGTATTTCTTCAATAACCTTAAATTTGATATGAATTTGTATATAGATCATGGAGATTCTCTACTGATTTGTAGATTTGAACAATAATTTTTGTTCATAAGTATCACACTATTGTCACACAAATTTGATAAACTAAACTAAAACCTAGTGTCTATTGTTTATTTAATTTTCTCCAATTTAAAACCTTTAATTTATCAGTTCTTTATTCGTTCCTAAAAATTGACTAAATCGTGGTTTTTAAATATTTAAATACCTTCCATTCTTCCTTGGAATTTTTTCAAAATTACTTTTCAGTACACTCACATTTTTCTCGCGTTTACCTCCTCGCTTCCTTTCCAAACCTACCTTCAACACGTTCAAAAACCTCCGAATTTACTTGACTCTATTAAAGAAAAATCTCCATTAACGCGATCATTACCATCTCGAGCAGTGACACGCTCAAATTACCGCATATTCCATAAATACCGGGCGCAGCGTCGCTGAAGCGATAAAATAAACACTCGACGACTGTCGGCCGTGTGAAGAGAGATCCTTTGGGGGTGGCTCTATCGGCGCGCGGCGCGAAAAGATCGCTGTGCTTTTGATCGCGAAAGAATTCACGGCGCCGGAAATTCCTTTCGAGGACATGTTGCTCGTTGCATGCCAGAAACGTAATTTCGAGAACGCCGTGGCACGGTGACACGTACGTACAGCAGGCGAGACATAATCTTTTGAAGCTGCTGCCACCGACCGATAACGGATATCGTGCCGATACTCCGAGTATGTATCGACCGCTCACATCTATCCGTTGCCGCGTCGACTCGTGTGAGATCGATGCCTTGCCCAGGCATTTTGCAACGCTCTCCACGAGGAAACGATTAAAACCAGCCTGTTCTAGATCGTTGGATATCGATAACCCACCGGTTCGGGCATTCTTTACTCGTGACAAATTCGTTCTACCGATTTCTCCTACCCGAGCTTTATCCTATCAACGTCTGTCGCCTGTTCTTCTTTTTAGAGGGATTCGGTGAAATTGCGTTTTCCAAGGTTAAAATAAACGATCGGGGAAATTTGCTACTGTAAATCGAACTTTTTCGAGAAATATATGGTATAATTGGAATTGTTGTCGAAACACGATTTGTGTGTTGCAGGTTTGAGGATACGATTGGCTAACCTGTTCTTCAAGCTGCTAACATGCTTCTTATACATATTCAGAGTGATCACCGACAACGATCCTACTTACGCAGCATGGTGAGTATCTGACGTTGTGTCGTGCGATGTTAATCTCTTGTCTTGTAGTTTTTTTTTTAACCTGTTAACCTGGGAAGACGAGCTTTCTTTTCATAAATTCTTGGTATACAGTAGTTCGTTTATTGAAAGACTATTTTAAAATTTTATATTAAATATAAAATACAGTATATGTACTCACATTCGCAAAAATCAAAGTGAAATAATTGATTATAATTTTTACTCATATTTTATTGTAAATTAGAGAGATTCAATTTCTTGAGAGGTGATCCCAATTACCAGGTTAATGATTATGTACGACTATTCACTGTTTTACTACGGTGTTAACCCTTCGACAGTTTATCCCGAGCGAGTCTTAGGCAGTGCATTAACTAACGAACAGTTTAACTCAAGAGAAAGACTTTTAGGAAGAAAGTTAGAAAGGGACGAGATATTATCATCAGAACTGTGACGTAGTCGCGTTAAAAATAATCGCACACGACGTAATTATTAAAAAGATACGTGTAAAATATGTAATTATATTAGACTGTCAAAGGGTTAAATTAAAAAAAAAGAATTTAGAGCAAAAATATAAATATTCTCCTTTTGTCACATCTTGACCATAATCCGCAATTCCATCCGCAAGGGGTTGATAAAAATGAAAAACAGAATTGTACTGTACCGTACAAGTGTCATAATCAAATCTGAGATTGCGTATCGATTAAGAGTCGCGTTATTTTAGCGGAAATGAAATCTTCGTATTTCATTGGGAATGTTTGAAAGCGACGCGACAACGCGGAAGAATTCTAGCCGGAAAACGCAGAAAGCTATTTCGACTCGCAATTTGACCATTCATGCAAGATTACGATATTTTGTAGAACGAGCATCGCGGCTGAAAATAAAACCGAGATAAGACTTTGCGACTGAAACGATATCGCGTTTGCCTGCCGCGAGTCTCTAACAGTCGCGATACTCCTTAAGGATTCCTAGCACTATTCCTTCCTTCCCCGTGGACTCCACTTTGCTCCCGCGTTATCTCCTATCTCTTATATTTTCCAAATTACTGTCCTACCGTGTATAATATTTTTCCGCGGCACTTTCTTTTTTTTATTCATTTTTTTCGTCCATGGTATTGCATTCCAGTCTCTTCTTAGATTCCTTTTCCCGGCAAATTCACTGCTGGAATTTTAGTAGACTATTCGACCTCTGCACACTTTTCTTTTCATAGAAAATTCCTGGTGCGAAGTGCTAAAAAATGCGGATATTTAGAAATATGAAAATTACTCTTTGTCGAATTGTATCGTTTGAAGTTTACAAACACACTTGTGTAAAGATATTCGAATAACAAAATTAAACGTTCTTTCTCCATTATGCATACGAAACGCTGGAAAGTATATATTCAACATTCTCCACTCCGTTTCAATTCATCAATATTCCCTTTATTTCATTCGCCGCTTGAAGCACAAATCTCCGTTCCTTTGGCTTTTTCCACGATGAATCATTCACAGACAACCGCGCTACAAAGCTGTTTTCCAGTTGCACCCTGTCCCTCCACCCTTGTAATTCCGTTATTTTCAACAAGTTTCGTATTCGTCCCGAAGACAGTCCGCAAAATTCTTGAAAATGAAATATCAATTAATTAATTCAAGCATATCCACAAAAATGAAGCAATTAACTCGGTTGACCTTGGGGTATGCAACGCGCGAGCCCCAATTTCCCTAACTTCGTAACCACGTTGATCAGAGACGCAATTACAACGTCCATTAACCAGCTTCTGGACAGTCGCGGAGCTTAGCCGGGCGCTTTTAAAAATTTACCCCCGGCAATTCTTGCGAGTCGCGTACGCTTTTAACAAAAATTTCCTTTGTCCCCGTGGCGTTTCCCCACCCGAGGAGGCTGCCTCTCGTCGCAAGTTGCTTTTACCGAACGAAATACAAAAAGCAAATTCAATTTTACTTCCTTCTTTCTTTCTTCTTATTCTCCTGTACATTGTTCTTTTTTTTTTTTTGCTTCCAGTTACGGTTGCACGCCGGGCAACAAAACGGAGTTCCTCGTGTCCCAGAACCTTACCGAGGAGGAATTTCAGGAGCATCCGACCATCAACTGGGACGCGATTTTATGGGTGAGGAGGCCCTTAGAATTGTGGGTCGTCCAGGTGATCCTGGCAATAGTATCACTTACGGAAGCGTTGCTGCTCGCCTATCTGGGTTACAAGGTACGCATCCTTTTCATCCCCGTTGGTAATTTGATTTCACGCGTAATACTCGATTACGGACGACACGCGCGGCCGCTCGTCTGAAATACCTCGTTCCGCACAAGCCCACGTTGCCGCACAGAAACGCACGTCGAATGTGAACGAAACAATATTCGGCGCCGCACACCACCGCGGTTAAATATTTAGTCACGGGCTGTTTGAAGAAGCGCGCCGCGGTGGTCCAGAGGAAACGAATTTCGACGATGAAAGATAATGTCGAAATGTGATTTTAGTGTAATTGCTTGTTGAGGGGAAATTGTAGCGATGTTGATACAGCGGTGAATATTAAATAAATGGCCAGAGTTTCGCGCGCGAGTGGCATTTTTCAGCTGTGACCGTTTTAGTAGAAATGATCGTTTGAGTATGAATAACAGGGTGTTACCTTTAAATCGTACTCTGATGTCGAACATTAGGCGAGCTTTCACCCTTATCCGGTAATAATGAGACTAGCTCGCTTACAGGCATAATTTTTTTATATTTTGAACAATGATTGAGAAATTCGTAATTTCTTCTGTGAATTCTTCTAGTTTTAATAATTGAATTATAGTACTCTTAAAGGCTTTTCAGATTTTTCACGGTTTCTCAATTGACAGTGGCATTGTTTTTTTACAAAATCATAGGAGAGCAACGAGACACAGTCTCGACTTGCAGAATTTGTGACACAGAATATCTAAAGTGACGAATTTATCTAAAAATTGAAATGTTCAAAGACATTGGCTTGGTTGACAATGATGTGGTCCAGGACCGCAACCTAAATATACTATATCACAGTCCATATAATTCATTTAATCCTGAATATAAGCCGACCGACAAGTTTTCAAAAAATTCATCCCAGAAGACAAATTGCACTCTTTACCAAAATCGCGTGGTAATATTTACACATTTCCGACGATGCGTCAAACAGACAATCCGGATAAGGGTAAAGTACGTCAAAATTAATTGCTCTCCGACCGATAAATTAGTTGATCCCTCTCGATAGACAGGTTCGACGAAGAAAGAAAGAAAAAAGAAAAGAAATTCGTTTGAATAGTATTCGCAAATATTTGAAAAGTACAATAGAAATTGGCACGTAAAAAAATTCCTCAAGCAACAATGTATCCCCTTTTACATGCATAAAATTCGACGCGGACTTTCATCGGAAAATTCACAGCCGAGAACACACGGTAACAAGTTTCATTGGAGAAAAAAGCCGGCAGCATATGAAATGTCGAAATGGCCACGTGGTTGTTACATTTGCCTGCGGAATATTCACCAACGAATTCCCCACTTTTCCTCCCAGACTTTTCTGTGCGACAATAAAGCAGCGAGTTATTTCGCGCGGTGACGTCTCTCGCTTTTTGTATATTCTTCGATGTGTACCTTTTTCTTTCTCTCACTCTCTTCTTCGCCCTTTTTTCTCACTATTATATACATTTATATACATGCATACATATATTTATATATATGTGTGTGTGTATGTGTGTCTGTCTCTGTATCTCTATTTCCTTTTTTACATCGTTCTTCGCTTCTGCATGGTCGTCGTTGCTCTCCCGCCTAATCACCGAACGTTCAACTGGGCTGAACACCAGTTAAACGGAACACGGAAAACGGAAGTCGAAGTCTCGCTGGCCTTGAATGGGGGCGCGCAGTGCATGTAACGGAAGGGTCAGAAAGTTGCGGAGGCTGAAGCTTTTCCGTCAATTTGCAGGCTTCAGAGAGGCTAGCTTTTTTTTTTTCCTACTTCGCTGCCATGGCTCGCGGATTATAATCTTTCTTTTTTCCGCCGTACGTTCGGAGAAAATTCAGAAAGAGAGCGCGCGTGGAGCTCTCGATGACCGGAAATGTTTCGACGACGGCGACGACGATGGGAGATTTCCGTTGGGAGAGTAGCAAAAAAAAAGTGTGTCGGGAGAAAACGTCGTTGAGAATCTCTGGAAAATTTCGATTAAGCCAATAGGACTTGATACACGAAGCAGCTTTTTCTGAAGTCTTTCGGTAAAGTTGATTCTTTTCCGATCTTCCAAGTGAAAATTCGTTGCTAATCTCTTTACGGATGTTTCGGTATCCCTGAAGAGGTTAACTGACTGTTTTGCTTTCGGTATCTTTGAGGTTAGAATGAGATGTGTATTTTACGAACTGTCGATGGAAGTTTCAAGTAACACGATTATTATTGTAGCAATTTTTTAGTAGAGCAATGTTTGTACATATATGACGTAGTATATGTATTTAGAGTAATTAATTAATAATTTGTACTTTCTTTCCTTTTTTCTGACTTTGTGTGAATTTTTCTGCTGTGTATTCGCGCGACATTTGAACGCTTTGCCGCTTCCCGCTGAGCTTCTTCTTCGTCGTTCTGCAGTTTCGTCCTGATTATCTGTAAATTCAACGAACCCGATAACAAAATCTCGCGTCGCAAATTGAAGAAATTAATTACCGAATGTTCGTTTCCGCTATGCTGCCGTGTGTAACAGGTCGAGAACGCGTATATACATACGACTGGGTTACAGGAATCGTGCACGAAAGTTTAGGCACGGTCCTCGCGAAATATAAAACCAATGCAATTTCACGGGTGCAATAAAAAATTTTGCCAACTTTCGCCCGGACTTGTAGGTAGTCACAAAACACGCCGGCTTCTATTTGAAAGTTTTCCTCATTTCGCTTCAAAAGTAAACCGGAAAATCTCCGGAAGACTTACGAACGGGACGCGTGGAAGTTCGCCTCGCGTACTTCCACCTAGATTCCAATTTCATTTCTGCCTGCGGGTCTTTCGTTGGGGGAGAAAAAACGAATTTTTCGAGAAATCGTGTATTCTCAAATCGTATCGACTATTTCGCGGTATTTTGCGCGAGGTGAAATGGTACCGGTTACGTACCACGCACTTTTCCCTTCGTCCGACCAAGTTCCAATCGGAGATTTTTGCACGATGTTTCTTGTAGGAAAAGAAAGTATCGAGAATATTCGAATTAGGGTGTTATTCAATGTGGGTGTTAGTAACGTGAGAACAATTTAATTTCGATGGAAGAAATGAGAAGAATACGTGGTGTGCCATCTTCTTGTGCAGTTGATCTATAAATTGCAAAGGGTGAAAACACATCTTCCTATGATCTGCATTATTTGGTAAAAATAGTTTTTTAAATTTGATATTCAACGGACAGAAATTTCTTTTGACTTCAGAAATTTTTTTAATATTTTACATATTTGGAATTTTTTATTTTT